TCCCCAAGATATGGAGGTAGTAGTGATTATAGACGACGTCATCTCATCGTCATGCTCTGGTGTCACAGACGTGTCTGGCCAACAGCCCCCATGTTCTTATGGAGAAGGTCATCGATGTGAAACGAGCGGCTGATGGTAAGAAGCCGTACTCTTCTGCTGGCAATGCTGGGCCGGCACCTCGACGCATCGACATGTTATCACATCCAACAAGGGCAGCAGGCAGTGGATATAGTAACTATATACTCCTTTGGATACTACCTCTTTCGATCATGTGTTCCCAGATAATATCCCTTCCTTAGAGCATAGGGTGGATCCTAGTCGTCTGGTTGATGATCCCAGGAAGGTCTTTATTGGTGGTATCCCAGTCAGTGGGGATAAAGGTAGAATGATTATTACGATGGGTTGTGTAATGACGATACTCTATGTGTAGATAAGCTCATAGCCCTACTATCCCGCTATGGCAGTGTTATAGATTGTGATATCATGTATGATAAGGAGACTGGTAGGAATAAAGGATACGGCCGCGCTACTTATTCGACACCTGCTGAGGCTAATGCTGCCATAAGAAGTGGAGATGCCAATATGATTGACGCTAAATGTGTAGGTTATTTATTATTATTATTATTATTATATTATAATTGCTGTTCATTGTAGGTTGAGATAAAACCCTTGCTACGACCACCAACCAATATTCCTACTACGCCCAACACTAATCGGTTCAATAATCACGATAATGCTACAGGGTAATGATGATGATGCTCTCAGGATGGGTATGTTTATATTATTTCTTATCATTAGTTATACGATGGATGGCCCATGCAAAGTCTTCCTTGGTGGTATACCTCCATCGGTTGATGAAGGTACTATTCCTTCTAGTCTCCCTCGTAATGGTGGGAGAGGATGTGTGTACTCAGATAAGCTAGCCCATCATTTATCCCGATATGGTAGGGTAGCAGAGGTTAGAATATACCGTGACATGGAGACGGGCCGTCATAAAGGATTTGGCTTTGCTATTATGGGTGATCCATCACAGGCAAAGGCTGCATGCCATGGTGGCAATAATAACTATATCGATTCCAAATGGGTAAGTGCAATGTTATATATCCTCATTACCATTATTTGCACACCTTTGGTAGATCCAGGTGAAGCCCTTCTGTAACCCTTATGACCGGAATGTATCCGGCCCCATGGAACGGCAGATGATGCGGACGCCAGGTTCCAGGCCTCCTCCCCCTGCTGCTGCTACTACTATCAATCAGCCTCCACCCCCTCCACCAGCAGGAGGAGGAGGAGGAGGAGTACCTGCCACTTACGGTCGAGGAGTGCATACACCCCCACATATGCAGTATAATGTACCACCATTACACCAACTCCAAGGAGATACTCATGTATACCGCTCTACTCCTACTACTCCTACTACCCAACAACAACAGGCCAACGTTATGACGGTATCATCATTGAGACCGCAACAAGGTGCAGTGCAATCCTATCCACAACAACCGCAGCAGGGATACGGTAATGAGCAAGCTCAACAGGGACAAGCAACTGGAGGAAGGGTGGCATCAAACAATACGATGATGTCAATGCAGTAATAGAACTACGATATCACTACCCATTATAGATTATCGTCATCATTTTCAGAGCTTATAACGATAATCCCTACATCCATCATACCCAAGAACAACAACAACAACAACAACAGCTAAACAACTCTGGCAATAGAACCCCATCACAGTACATGCAACACCAACACATTGGTGTACCAGTATCAAGTCCCATACAACAACAACAACAGGGCGTAGGTCATGCCGCCTCGACGATGATCCCATCACAAGGGCCCGCTACGATGACTACTACTAACATGCCTCAACAACCTCAAGCCCTTCCTATGGTTCAGGGCACATCCCCCGCTGGTCCAGGAGCTTACAACTATCAAGGATCTATGGCAATGACTGCTGCTTCTGCTGCTGCTGCTGCCCAACAACAACAACAGCTACAGCAACAGGCTTACAACTTTATGGCAGCTTATCAGGAAGCTGCTGCTTATAATGCTGCTGGTCGAGGTCAAAGGACGGCTCCTTATTAACGATAGGTAGTACTACTACTATTAACACGTATCTAGTATCATAGGGGTATAAGAGAGTAAGGAACAATGAGCGATATTTCATGTTTGGACTACTTATAGTATATGCTACTATCATCAGTATTATACAAGGATTGATGGTTTAGTATGATACATGTAGGTGGATATTTTATCATCTCCTTATAACATTATCAGGTCTCGCTGGTACTTATATATATACAAGAATATGACAACTCTGTATTTGCCATTGTTGTTCCTCTACCCTCATCATCATCCCTGTCCCATTAGGATGATGATGATGACAGTAGTTAGTATAAGCTTTTTCCTAGTGGTATCGTTTATGATAAGGTCCATAGTACGTAGCTCTCTCATACTATATTGTATTATCACTATAACCACCATCACGATGATGATAACTCATGAAAAGCGTAGCGTTGGGAGTATATATATTATGTAGAATGATTACAGGGTGTGTTACTAACAATATAGGAGTTTATAGGCATTCCTCATGATGCCCATAAGCAGCTATAATAAAGATGATACTCATAAGTTAGTACTTGGTTATTGCTGGTTATTGCTATACTATTTCATTAGAGTTCAAGTTGATGGGCATCATATTAAGGGTAAGAAGAGTACACTACATATGCTGTATATCATCCTCTACTGCATCATATTACTGCTTACTCTCATATATCCTGATTCCACTTTTTATGCATGTTTTGTTGTTTAGGTCTCGCAATTATCAGGCTTCTTAGACTGGTTCGACACAGCAGCCTCCAATCAGGTCTTCTTAGACTCATCTTTACCATCATGGTCATCTTGTTGGACCACCATTACACAGGGTATCTACTTTATAAGTACCCATCATCATCGTCTATTACTCATTGGCATTCACTCTAATCGGCATGTGTTGAGTACAGTAGCGCCAGACTAGTAGCTTTGTCATTAATCTGCTTTAACACACCCATATTGCCGTCGTTATCATCATCATTATCAATCAGCCTCAGGCTGTATTGTTTCTTCTTGCATCATAATACTCCTTTACCATGTTGGTTGTACCGTCGTCGCCCCCTCCAGCATCCACTATGCTTTTTATTGAGGGTAACACGACGATAACAACGACATCAATAGATCCTATAGAAGGATTCGATGATGCCGTGGAGGCTAGTGCTACTGGACGTAGAGGGGAACGTCGGAATACATGGTCCTCATCGATTCCTTCACGAAGTGGCACCACCACTACTACAGAGGTGGAGCAACGACCTCATGCTGCATCAGAGATCTCACACCCACCTGGCAAATGCTGTACGTCCGTGGCCCTGTCCACCTCTCCATCGGAATTGCCAATAACAAGACCACCATCATCATCATCATCATCATCATCATCAACATCATCGTCATCACTTACGCCGTCGACCTCACCTGTACAGGAAGGGGTCGATGGTTATTACAGGAAGAAGGATGAGGAGGAGGAGGAACGAGGGGAAGATACGTCTATGTTGAAGATGGAGGAAAGGAATGTAGTTATGCTTATGTATCGATATGTCATAACATGCCTAGTACTCTATTTAGCTATTCCTCGGGGGCCTGCCTTCGAATTGTGATAAGCAAGAGCTCAAGACTATTTCTCCCATTCGGGGAGATGAGATCCATAGTCATGATGGATCGCGTCACTGGTCGATCGCGTGGCTTTGGCTT